TTCTTCAAAAAACCCAACACTCATGGCCTCTTCCAGCAACGCCGGACGTGGCACGGAGACAAACACCACCGGGGAACAACTTCAAGTTCCCGTGGTGTGCATCAGACAGTTCACCATCCCCCTTTCGGTGGATGGGATCCCCAGCTTGAATGTGCCACAAGTAGTGGCGCCAGTAAACCTCCCTGCCACGAGCATCCCCTTTCCTCCCCCTATTGAGACAATCTTTACTGAACCGACTACCGTCCCCCTGGCAGCCAGCCAAAACCAGTTGGATGACCTGATGCAGTGCATGCGGGCAATGCAAGCCCARATGCAACAGTTCCAGCAACAYCAGCTTCACCAGCACCAAGTGTTGCACAACATCTCCCAGTATCACTATCAACAGCAGTTCCCCCAACTGCCACTGAATCAACCACTACTTCCACCTCGCCACCCTGCTCCAAGGCCGATCAAGGCCTCCCTGTAGGATAGACGCCCCCACCAAGGAAAGGCCTCCCGGCCCTAGAACCCCCCTAACAGTCAGGCCTCGTCCCCAGGCTGAAGAGAGAGAAAAATCATCCCTGCCTCGCAGCTCGCAGGCGGGTTGGGAACCTCGCCCGCGAGATCGGCTCCTCGGCACTCCAAGCCCGAGTTCCTGCTCACGGAAAACCGATTCGGCGCCCTGGCAGCAGACTACCAGCATTTCGGGCCCATCGAGCTCAGCAACACGGAGACCAGCAGCGCCAGTACAAGGCCCACTCAACAACGAAGGCGCCGGCGAAGTCGCCATACCGCCACCCGTGTCTTGTCAGAGCTCAGAGGCAAAGAAGAGACGAGCTCGAACGAGGTAGGAGTTGCCCCGATTCTCTCAGTTCCTTCCCCCCTCGCATCAGAACTCCTGGCGGTCCCCTTGCCCAGAGATTTCAAGCTCTCACCTCTGGACAAGTATGACGGGTCCTTCGACCCCAACGACCACGTTGATGCTTTTTAGTCTCAAATGCACCTCGCCAGGGCCAGCGAATCGTCCATGTGCGTGGCCTTCACCACCACCTTCAAGGGGGTAGCCCGCACTTGGTACAGGAACCTGGCCCCCGGGTCGATAAAGTGCTGGGCCCAGTTTGTGCAGGTCTTCACCGCACACTTTGTCACCAGCAAACGGTGCCCCAGAACGGAGGAAAGCATCTTCGGAGTAGTCCAAAGGGAAGGAGAATCCATCCGGGGTTACATCAAGCGATTCAATGAAGCATGCTTGCAGATACTGCGGTGCAGTTCGCAGCGGCCAAAAGAGGAGTAACGCACAAAGAGTTCAAATGGCACATGGTAGCTAACCAGCCCGCAATCGTGGCCGAATTCCTCAAGCTTGCGGACAAGTTCATGAGAACAGAGGAAGAAATCAACTAATGAACCGAAGGTGGGAACGAGAAAAGAAAGAGAGAAGGCGAGCCCTCCA